ATGTAGAGATACTGCTTGCAAACCAATGATGGTAAGATGATGTTATGGGGTAGGACTGGATAAGTCTGACTTCTTCCTACTCTATTCAAGCATGTACTAGGTATAAGCAAATTGATAATGGTTTAGCATTTGTGGATATGTGTGAAATTATGTGTGTTGACATATCAACTGTCTTTACATGCTTGAAAGAATAAAAATCAATCAATCAATCAATAATACATCCATATGCAAATCTAATGCTTGTCTTATCCTTCTCCCTCCATGTATACTGACAGGTGTAAACGATGATGTGGCTCACTTGTCCACATGTGATCTGATCATCCAAATCACATTTTAAAAAAGGCCAATCTGATCATCCAAATCACATTTTAAAAGTGTCAGTGTCATGATCCATCTCTTACTTGCTGGCTGGGGCTCTTACTTTGTAGGAGACTTCCTGTTCTACACTAGGACACCTGTCCCAGCTCTACTCAGCCCAGTCAGCGGCTGATTGTTTTTACCTGCGACTTCTTTGCTGGCTTATTTAACCTGCCTTGTCATGCCTTTCAGGTGCTAAGATTGTCTTTTGCTGTATGTGGAGCAATGCTTTTATGTGACTTGTATTCTCCCTGTAATCCTCTGTTGCCTGACCTGTGCTCTGCCTTTGGCTGTAGCTTTGGCCTGTGTCCTGCACTTGATACCCGTTTTTGGATGCCTGTTGCCTGACCTGTGTTCTTCTTCTAACTACGTCTCTGTCTGCTCCTCCACCAGCTGTAAGTCACAGTTCTCTACTGCCTGAAGTGTGTGTTAAGAAGAATGTAGTGTTTATCTTACCTAGATTTCTCCACACCATTTCCTGTTTTTGGATTGCTAGTTTTTTAGGCTTTTTTTCTTTTGAGTCTTTGAGCTCAGTTGTGTGGCAATGTTATTTATTTGGTACTTTGTTTTCACCCAGATTCCAGTCACTGAATTTGTTCCCTCAGCCGTGGAGAAGCTGTCAGGATTATAGAACATGGTGGAACAGGTAAGTAATTGTAGGTGTTCGCTGAGGAGGGTGAGAGACAAGCAACCTCAGGGGGCAGCAAAATGAGGGAAATATGCATACTGGAGGGGGAGGGTGGGGGGGGGTAAACAATATTGCACAGAACAACTAGGAGTGTGTATACTGCAATTTTTTTTAGCATAGTCATGTTCCAACTGAAACCATCCAAGGTCGGCATAGAGTAGGAAGCCACAGTGACTTAGATCTACACTGTCTGAAATCATTCCTCACTATACAGTGTTCACTGTGGTGTCTGAATGCTGTGTAAATCCATCAATATCTATACCACTTAATCCTAAAAAGGAGCGCTGGAGCCAATCCCAGCTGACATTGAGCAAGAGGCGGGGTACACCCTGGGCAGGTCGTGTGTGTGTGTAAATATGCCCACTACATAATTGTTATACCCCAGTTCTTTTATTGGACAGATCTGAATAAGGATGGAGTCCGTCTTTCTTCATTTTAGTGCTGATTTATTTTTAAAAAATATATAAATAAAGATTACAGAACACAACCCAGGTTGTTCCTTCCTCCAGAGACACACACACTCTCTGACTGCTGGAGAGAGAAGATCCCGGAAACACAGAGCCTAATACATTTATCAGTTTTGGGCTAACCCCTTACACAGATGAAGTCCGTCCAGCAGACTCCATCTCTTATCTAGAGCTCCACAGGCTTGGAGCAGCTGCATATTACCTAGTAATAACAAAATGAGGTAGCTCGATGTGTGTGGATGTTGTTACGTGGTGCGTAACTAAAACAATCATTCAGACATAAATCTAACACATGATTAATACAAGAAAACAATTGGTGTCATGGCTTACTGCTAACCTTGAAACAGAGCAGACTAGAGCAGACTTTGAATCTTACAAACTACATTACTAACACATTAAAGTCTAAGACAATGTCTAATAATTATCTGACTGATTTATTAATTTCTAACATAATGCACTCAAATTTCACAATGGAAAAAGTAGTGTACATGTACAGTTTTTTCTAACAATTCTACAATACAAAGCTCTGCATTTTATTAGATGGAAAATCCTCAAGTGATCCTACAGCTGTTGATTCTAAGTGTCTGAAATATCACTTTATTGTTCAATGTAAACTACTTAATGTGCATTATACAGGTAGTATTGAATAGGACGTCATTATGGACAACCCTGTTCTCACAAACATACAGACTACAGGACCACCACCAGCATCATCAGCCCCACAAACAGCCTGCCGGATGACCTCAACACCTTCTACCCCCGCTTTGAGACCTCCAGCCACAGCACAGAGAGGAGGCACACATACACTGAGACCACCCAGCCCCCCACCTCCCCTCCACTAACTGTCTCACCAGGCCAGGTACGCACAGTCCTGAGGAAGATCAACCCCCACAAAGCAGCAGGACCGGACAACATCCCTGGGAGGGCTCTCAGGGCATGTGCCAGTGAGCTGGCTGATGTTCTCACCACCATCTTCAACCTCTCCCTCAGCCAGAGCATCGTTCCCACCTGCTTTAAGACCACAACCATCGTTCCCCTTCCCAGGAAGAGCCTGGTCACCTGCCTGAACGACTACAGGCCAGTGGCACTCACCTCAATCATTATGAAGTGTTTTGAGAGAGTGGTGCTGGTCCTCATTCAGAGCAGTATACCAGGCACCCTGGACCACCTGCAGTATTCCTACCAGCCCAACAGGGCCACCTCAGATGTCATCACAGCTGCCTTCCACTATTCCCTTTCTCACCTGGA